ATCTTTTGAAAAAGTGCACGTTTTTTTTATCGTTAACAACATTTTGTACTAAAAAAATTAATATAATATCCGCAATATCCCTTGTTACTGATCAGAAAAATTTTTGATTAATTATTATTCAAATAACGGTATTGACTGATATTTTGTTTAAGATGATTATTAACTGGTGTGCTTCATATTATGATAAATTTAAAAAGCTCAAATATTAATAATAGAGCAGTCCAAAATTATTTTATAATTAGAAAACAAAAAACCAATAAATTTCTTGCAATTTTATTTTTTATAAAAAATTTTTTATAAATTTCCTTTAAGTATTAATGTAACAAAACTCTTATACCTAAATAAGTAACGGCAAATTTATCTATTTTTAAAGGATTGACCTTGAAATGTCGAAAACGAAATTTGTCGCCGAGAAATATTTAAATTTAGAAATACTGATTTAAGAAAATAACTGTTAAAATTTAAATAGGAAAATGTTTACTACTGTGATTTAAGAGAAAACTTGTGGCTTGAGATTCATTTGACAGAGCTCAAATATTTTATTAACGCATAAAATGTTGTTTATTATGTGCCATCATATTTTATTAGTCATTTTAATTGTACATGTATGTCAATATATTGACTGTATTATTTAATTAAATTTATTATACTGATTTAATTTTTGTAGAGTCTTTAAATGATTCGTTGACAATTTGATTAAACTATAAAATTTTATATCAACTTCTATATATCAAATATTTTTAAATTTTAATTCAAATTAATTATTCTTCCTAAAATAAATGCAAGAAATTTTTATGTTTTTAAATTTTGAATTAATAAACACTTGTACTTAACCAACCATTAAACAAGTATTAAACTAGAAATAAAATTTAAATTAGAACCTATGACATTTCAATAATGTAACGTTTAATCAATTAAAACTCATTGATTTGGCAAAAAATAGAACAAAAATTATGAAATGAACAGAATTATCAATTTATTGGTGTGTACATGATAAAATTATGTAAATTTTTATAATATTTCATAAAATTTTGCGACACTTCAATGAAATACTACATGAAAATGAAAATTTAAAGAAAATATTTGACCTTGTATCGCGATGACAATTTAATTTAAGCTCAACAAAACAACCATGTACATAAGTATGTGATGTGGAAAAATATTTAAATTATTTAATCATTCTGATACAGTAAACACAAGAAATGTGTTTCGTCTTAAATTCCTTAAAGCAACCATATACCATTAAATTCTGTTATTAGAATTGTGTTATTTTATGGAATATTTTATGTAATACACGTTCAATAATTTTATGCACATAACGTGTTTACATAAAAAAATTCTTATGAACAAATATCAAAATAGCCTTGTACTTAATTATACTCATGTTCTCAGCAAAGTAAAATTATAATAATAATGAATAACCATTAACGAAATTTATTACAAAAAATTATATTTTAATTAAAAACATTCGGGAAGAAAATACAGGGAGGAATATAAATTTTACACCCACTATATAATTATAATTAAAAGGATTCTATAGAATCCGATAAAAAAGGAATTTTCAAACAATACTATGTTTATGTGTACTACGAAACGGAGTATGCATAGTGATAACAAGAAAACATTAAAAATACGAATAGAAAGTTATAAGAAAATATAATTTTTCTTTTTATTATTTTCGACCATTTTTATACACCCTCGCCATTTAAATGATGTGAATTGTTATTAATAATAATGGGACCAAATATAGAGTAATATTAATATTATTTGTTTTATTAATAATAATAATAATAATAATAATAATAATAATAATAATAATAATAATAATAATAATAATAATATACTCGCACTAATATGTGCGTATATTCGGAAATTCGCTAATTCGGAATGTTATGTAACGGCAATTATATTGACCAAAATGTTTGTTAAGCTTTTAATTGCTATTTTTAGAAAATATTTAATTTTGCTTTCCTGCCAACCAATAATTATTGAAACCAAGAAACTTTCAATTTGTAAATTGGCAATTTTGAAGAGTAAACCCCTTGAATAAGAGGTTTAAATAAAAGAATCAAAATATACCCAACTATTGCATGCTTTTAGGGTGAAAAAAAAAAATAATATTAAACTGAAAAAAGCTCTTAGGTAATGATCAAAATTAATGACCAGTTAATGAGATTAGTTGAGCAATATTATATTTTTCGGGAAGAAGATACTTTGTCGTTAGTTCGTGCTTTTTATAAACGTTCGAAAAAGCATGTAGTTTCAAAAACATAAGACGTCGAATATTGGCTTTTTACTAAATTTGAGAGCCAATAACTAAGAAAAGGAAGGTAGTAGAAAATTTTCTTAAGAAATAAATAATTTATTAATTCTGTTACAGCTCCACAATCTACAATTTTTCGTCGAAGAGAAAACAATTTCAAAATTCTGAAAATATTTAAACATTAGTTTATCTTTTAAAAGGCTGTTCAAAACATAAAATCAATTGATTTTCTTGATTCTCAATATTTCTCTTAATTTTGATACAAAAATAATAAAATTGTTGACTGTTGTATGGAGGGTGTAGTTTTACTTTACCTGTAATAAAATTAAATTTGTTGATGAAATAAATTTTGAAAGTTATTTGGGTGGAGTTTTAATCAACTAAAAGCATTGTATTAAAAATATTGTGTAAATTGATTAAAAATTACATTACTCTACATAATATCAAAATAATTGAACTCTTAATGCTTCTGCATTTACATTGTTATCAGCGGTTTTGATACAAAAAAAAAATAATTATTTCTCGTTTTGTATTCAAAATTAAATTTATTTATTTAAATTCATATATAAATAATTAGCAGTCATATTGCAAATTAAATGAAAATTTTGTTTATCGTGCTGAAGAAATTTATTGTTATTTGTATTTAGGGACATTTACAGTCATTCATTTAAATTTCATATAGTCACATATTATATACATATATACACATGTACATCAATTGTATCAAACAAGATTTTTGGAATTATATAAAATCCATATGGTTATTGTTTTATTTTTCAAAATATTTTACAATTATAAATTTTTCGTTTATAATTTCTAATAAATTATATTGTAAGCAATATTATTATTTGGTGGCAGCAGTATTTCCATAAGTTTAATTTTTGTAACAACTACAGTTAGCTAATACTTGACTTAGTAACTCAAATAACGAATTTGATTGAAAAATAAAATACAAGCCCGAGTTTTCTAATCGAAGTAAAGAGTATATTGAAGCGGCTACTTTACCTTAATAAAGATAAAAATTAAGATAAATGTTCTATTCCATACTTTAACTAGATTACTCATATGTTTGCAAAAATAAAATTCAAATAGGAAACGACTTAGAATTTCGCATAAGTTTATTCATTGATATTTTATTTGATATACAAGAAAACTTCCGTCATGATGTAACAATCCAAAGAATCCTAAGATGTAACAATTGCTAAGGACTAAAGGCTAAAAGTATAAAACAATAAATATCCGAACTTAAATGTTGGTCAAAAATCAAAATCATTCAAAAAAATTTTCTTCATTTAATACTAGCTATTTACTATCTATTAAAAACTTTCGAAATTGAAAAGCTTGTAAAATTCTAGATATTTGTAGGGCATGTCCTAAGATACACACCTCATGACGATACTGCTTTCCCTACAAAATCGTAACAAGAATATTGTTGTCAAAAACGTTTAAGAACTTTTGATAATTTGGAATTTGCTATTGGTCAGTAAAAAGAACGTTGTGTCTCATATTTTATTAATCTAGTTTTTGCTTAAATTTTTGTTTTTAGTTTTATATTAATAAAGACATGTAAACAGAAATTTTTCTTTTTTTTTTTGATAGCATTCTTAACAAATGCAAGTCACGATAACCAACATATTTGTCTCAAGAATTTTAACAATCGATTAAATTTTCTTTCTTTCAGAAAGTTGCCATAAAGAACAAGGCATTTAAATTTTTTTTCATTACATAATTTAATCATTTCATTATTATTATAATAATATTTGTTTATTGTATTCTTATGCATAAAATAATAAAAAAGTATTTTAATCAAAATATTCGTATTTGAACTTACGAGTATGAAATTATTTCATTATTCATATTCATTGGAACCTTTCAAAATATTGAAATAATTTTAATAAATTTTAAATATATGTATTTTCATTATATGAAATATACATAACTTATTACTTTCATACAAATATCAAAATAATGTATAATATAATTTTAACACAGTGAAACCTCCACAAAGAAAAACTCTCGCAAGACGAGACTGCCTTTAATAAAAAATTTTACGTTTACAACATGCGAATTCTTACTTATACGAACTAATTTTGTTGCAAAATGTTAAGTTATGTTATTGGATGTCCGACTGTATATTTATAATTATTATTTTGCTCTGGGGTGAAAAATAAAAACCTTTAAGTATGTATGTATTTTAATATCCTTTTTGTTTTCATATTTAAAACAATTTTTTGTTATTTATATTTAAAACATGATTTATTATACATGAAATTAATATTTTTATTGGAAAACATAATTATATATTAATAAAATGCTTTGCATACCATTATAAATTTAATGTTATCAAATCTAAGTTTATTTGCGTATACCATGTTATATATAACAATTACGAGTATGATAACAATATATACAAGCAAGTAATTTTAGTATATATAGAATAAGTTTTATTAACATCACATTATATGAAAATGATTTGTGAATTTTTTTCCCATAAATTCGTAATTATTATTTATTACCAGGTGAAACACAATTATCGTCATATTTGAAATATTTTAAATTATTATGTTTATTGTTGATTTTGTTGTAGATTTTTTTGTTATTCAAATTAAAATTTCAAAAAGTAAATAATAATCTTATTATAATATTTACATTACGTTTATGATTGTTGATTTCATAATTGCGTATATTACATGTTTTGTTGATTTCATTCTCAAAGAACTTAATAGTACCGTATGTTTTATAAAACTAGTTTAATATAGAAATTATTATGTAATATATTTATGTACAATTCAATTTATATTCTTATTTAAATAAACTAATATTAATAACTAATTAGACTGCCTTTTTTGTGTATGTGAGTATTTAATTAACTAGGTATAAATTATAACATTAATTTTTATTTCAATTTTCTTTTATTTATTTAATTTTATTTTAATTACACTTATAATGATAATAATATATTTATACCTACCTTTATTTTTTACAGTGCTACTGAATCATCTAAAGAATCGGCGCTGCGATAGCCACCATGATGACTAACTACATTTGATATACTATTTGTATCTGAATCCTTTGAATGTCATATATCCGAACAAGTATCTTGTGAATCACCGACATACCCTTCATCTGGACTATCAGCTAACGGACCATTTAAGTGACGTAATTTTGATGAGGATGATGATGTTGACTGATGTGAATGCATTGATGATGCTCCAGTTGTTGTTGATTGCAAAAGTTCTTGTTCTTCATCACATTCTGGTATTGTTGATGGCTCCAATTCAGTGGTTTGAGCACCAACACAACGTTTTTTAACTTCATTAATTCCAATTGAATTTGATGATGGCGTTTGTGTACTACTGCTGCTGCTATTATTGCTACTGCCACTTATATTATTATTACTGCTATTTATGTTGTTACTATTTATTGATGTTCCTAATACCGATGATTGTATTGTCTGGGATGATTGCTGTTGTTGGGTACTACTATTGACACTGCTATTACTTCCATACAAATTTGTTGTAGGTGAAGGAACTACAATTGGTGCTGTCGTATATCTTATTGGCTGTACATGATAACCTGGCAAACATGGAGGCCATTGCTGGAAACTTGCTGACGTAACAGGACATAGCGTTTGCCCACTTTCTTTATAATCAACAATTCCACCTTTGTAGCCTTCTGGCGGAGAAGGATACTGCACAATAGCAGCAATTGCAGCTGCTGGATGCTGTTGTTGCTGCTGATGTATTGGATATCCTTCAGCTGTAAATCTCATACTTGGAACAGTATATTTATCATAAGGTGATGATGGTTGTGTTCCATTGTTCGAACGCTGTAGAAATTCGGCTTCCAAACTATATCGAGTACCCGGATTTGCTGCCGATACATTAAATTTATTATTATGACCACCGCGGTTATGAGGTAAAGTTCTATAAAAGTTTTGCTGCTGTTGCTGTTGTTGTTGTTGTTGTTGGATAGCATTTTGCATATTTGGACTATTGTTACTTATTTCGTATGATGCATAACCACTTCCATCTTGGCTTAAAAAGCATACGGGGTTTAAATGAACATCTACTTGGTGTTGGCCTCCACCAACGCTATTATTGGATAAGGATTTTAAATGCATTCCACGTGGTAATGTTGACATTGCTGCAATTCTCTGACCAGATTGTGGTCTTATTATTTGTGAACCAAACTGATTAGCTAATTGATATTCAAAATTTTGTGAACTTTGTAGAGTTGTCGCAATACCTGGTCCTATACTAGTACCACCTCCAGCGTTTTGCAGATTGCAAGGTGCAGTTGCTGCCGAACATTCTGATCCATCATATTCACTGTCTTGCTTCACAAATTTGTTCTTTACGCTTTCAGCATCGTTTACTAAATCTGGGTTCTTATCTGCATAGTTACGCATTACAGAACCGGGTGGGCTACAATACTGACCTTGTAAAGCTATACCTTCGAATGCTGTGTCAACTAAAGGAGGAGTTGGTGCACTTGATTCATTTATTTGCATACTTGCATTATCCATAATATGACCTTGTTGTAAAGATGGAACATACATCATAAAACCTTGTTTCATTTGACCACTAGCCCCGTTTGATATCCCTAAACTACTGGGGTGACCTAATAAAATAAAAGAATCATTCTTATAACTTTTTATAAAATTAAAAACTGGTTATTTATTTTTGCTGATTAAATTTTATGTTTGCAAATATGATATATTTATTTACCTATGCTACAATTTCCACCAGCTAATATAATTCCATTCTCTTTTGTCGACTTAGGTGACATATCTTCCTCATTAATTATTGAAGGACATTTTAATAAACCAATTTCGTTACTACTAGTGTCCTGTTTAATATTTTTTGTGCTTCTAGACGGTTGTTTACTTCTACAACTACACTTAAGAGCTATCGTACAAACTAAGAGAACAAATAAACAACCTGCTCCACCACCGGATATCATAATATAATTCATATAATCTTTTGCAAATGAAACTTCCTTAACAACTGGTGGCTCTTTAATAATAACGCGCAACGTATAATTACTAAAAGTTGTACCAGCTGTATTTTGACCAATACATGAAAATGTTCCGTTATCTTCAGGTCCAACGTTATATATAAAAACCTCGCTACGTTTTTCTTCGCCAGCTGAGCCAGTACCTTCATCAATGTAATAGTACATATGTAAATTATCCATAATTGTTTCATTGGTTAACACTTGCCCATTAAATAGCCATAACACTTTTGGTTCTGGTATAGCTCTAACAGTACATTGTATTGATATGTTTCTACCTTCCGCAACCTCAGTATACGTTGATTTTGGTTGAACTTCTGGTAAGCAAGCTAATTCATCCTTTTTTAATGATTTAATTTGTTGGCCCTTTAAACGTATTGGCTCTAAACATCTTGGTTCTTCTGTTTGTGGTGTATTGTAATTTACTAACCACGCATGTATATCAATTAAACGACAATCACATTGCCATCGGTTTGATTGTAAACTAATACCATGTAAGGATTTTGGTAAAACGTGAGCTCCTTGTATATACTGGATTCGATTACCATCTAAACGTAACCACTCCAAATTATCCATACCAATAAATGCTTCATTTTCAATACGTTCAATATGACAATTACTTAATTCTAATGTTGTTAAAAATGATAAATGACGAAAACTAGCTGTTTTTAACTCACGTATAGGATTACCACTCAACGATAAACGCATTAATGATGTATAGTCTTGAAATGTTTCAGTTGGTATATGCTGTAGCATATTATCAGATAAATCTAATTCAACTAAATTTGATAGACCACGAAATGCTTTTTCATGAATTTTAATTAATTGATTTCTTGATAAATAAATTTTTTGTAAATTTATTAGATCCATACGTAAAAAACGTTCACTTTGTAATACTTGTAACAGATTACCAGAAAAATTTAATACCTGCGTACCAGGATCCATACCTTCTGGTATTTTACTTAACATTTGACCACCGCACTCAACTGTTTGTTTACCACCTTTCCATTTGCATATACAAACATCCGATGGACATGCTAATGTTAATTTATCTTGTAAATTTATCATCAATGTCAATAACATGACAAGTAAATAAAAAATTTTGTTACTATTCAGTTGTTGATAATTAGGATTCTGATGATGATGTTGACTATGATGATGGTGGTGGTGTTGATAATGGAAATGATTATTAATTCCATTTACTAAGTATATATTTTTTATATAGTTCATTTTATTTAATAGATGTATTATATAAATAAAGTTTTGTAATTTTGAATTGTAAATTTGAAACAATGGAGAATTTATATTTTCAGTTTTGTCTATGCGATTTAGAGTAGCAATAATAACATTCGTTTGGTTGGGTAAAATTCAGTGTGGTAGCTCATAAAGTTTTTTGAAGTTGATCCGTTTGTTTCTGAAAAAAGTTGTTTTTATTACAAATTCCAATATTAGAAGTGTATTATTAAATGCTTATACTAAATAAAAAAAGCATGGCCAACACTTAAAATTAAAGAGGAAAAATTCCATGCAAAATTACATTGAATAATTTATTTTCTTTGACAGCGTCATAGAGCTAAACGAATACTAAAATTAAATTGGAGTTCTGCGCGCCAAGTACTTCTGTCAAATAATTTACTGAGAAGGCTATATTATAATATAATGCAAGTGAATTTATTATATTTTTTACCTATGACTGGCATCATATTTTTTCTATTGAATGTTCTGACCCGTTACTTAGTCTTTTATGCCCCCTTTGAAACTTTGTCTTTTATGCTGATTATTATTCTTATCGTTTTGACTTTAGGAGAGTTAATTTTCCTTTATTGAACGATTTCTTTTCGAGCTATGATATTTCTTCGGTATATGCAATTACTGATGTTGAATTAATGACGAACAGGTTCTACGAAATAATTTTTCTGCCTTCGACCTCTTTGTTCCATAATTCGGAACAAAGATATCAATTCCAGTCCTTCTTGGTTTCCCCGGGAAGGCACTTTGCGCAATAAAAAGAACAAACTGTGGTGTAAATTCGTGGCTTTCCGGAATTCCGTAGAAAATTTCGCTATTCAGCAGGTCTTTGCTGAATTTAACAGATAATGTAAGTTACAATATGATTTGAATAATTTTCAGATATTGGAAGAAATCGCTTGTAATCCCGAAGTTTTTTTGAAATTTCGTTAATTCTAGAAGGAACTGCGATAGTTTGCCGACTTTTCTCAAGATTAGCGATACATCTAGTAATGACTCAGGTAAAGTATATGAAATTTTCCGAGCATACTTTACTGATTTATATACTTCTTTCGTCTTTCGTTGCAAATTCCAGCAATTTTCAACACCTCTGTACCTATCCTAGGACTACATTTTCGGGTTTTGATACTGAATCCGGTATTTTTAAAAAATGGGATGGTCTTGGCTCATGTTTTTTCCCGGGGCCGGATGGCATCCCTGAGATTATTTAAAGAAATTACTTTAATTTTTAATAAAACATATTCGTCTGAAGTTTTTCCATCTCGTTGGAAGGAAGCTTTTATAGAGTCGATACATAAAAGGGAGTCTAGGGCTGAGGTAAAAAATTGTAGGCCGATAGCTAGGTTTTCTACTATTCACAAAGTTTTCGAGTTGATGTTATATGATTCCGTTTACGACCATTACACACCTTTTATTGTAAAGAACCAAAACGGTTTTCTGAAAAAGAAATCCACGGTTACTAATCTGGTAGAGCAATTCAATTTTTACTAATAACATGGAAGCTGGATTTAAGGCTGACGTTATTTATATTGATTTCAGTAAGGCTTTCGATATTCTTCCTCAGGAAGTAATTATAATTATACATATTTCCAATTATAAGTGAAGACTACAAGGTTTTCCTGCCAATTTTATAAATTAGATAAAATCGTATTTAGTGGGAAGGTCTTATAGGGTAACTTTCCGTTCATCGTCTGTATTTGCGGCAAGTTCGATTGTGCCTCAGGGCACCCATGTGCTGTAATAACTTACTCACGCCGCAGACGTCTCTTTATGACAAATTAGTCTTTTAATGGTGATGGTCTTAGAAGGGTTTTTCCTATTAAGGACTTGGGAATCTACTTCGACACTAAATTGTCGTTTTCGGACCATTACATTTATATTGTTGACAAGGCAAGTTACTTCTTGGGTTGGATTAAGCGATGGTCGAAGGAGTTTAATGACCCTTATACATTAAAATTTCTTCGCAGGTTTGGTTTCCAATTTAGGACGTTCATAGGAATAGGATTGAGGCTATTCCTATGTATGATTATTAAAAATAATTAAAAATATGTATAATTATACTTGTAGAAGGTTGTAGAAGTCTGAAATTTCGGCAGCTTTTAGACACTAATAAACTATTCATTTTGTTAGAAAAAAATTTTTTTCGATCTTCATCCCTCTCAAATTATCGCCTCACGAAATTTGTACAGTTTAAATTTTTGGCAAACTGTAAGCTTTTTCTAACTTCTGTAAATGCAGAAAGCTAACGGAAAGTGTCGTGTCATTAAAAAATATAATTATTTTTCTAACTCACGCAATTAACCATTAAATTTGAATATCATTTTAATGACTAAAATGAATTGAAAAAACACTCACATACCTAAAAGCTTCATTCACCAAAAAAAAAACTATCTCATCAATTCATATAAAAATAAATCCCAGAAAATGGGAGATATTTAAAATATTACTTTGAAAAATTATTAATTGAAAATTTTATTTGTCCGATAAGTGTTAGTTGTGTTGACTTTTCATAATACTCGTACAAAAATTTCAAAATTGGTAAATTTGTGTAAAATTTCAAACGATATCGTAGCAGCCCGCTAATTATGCTACACAAAAAAATTATATTTTTTGTATTGTCTTATTTCATACACAAAAAATTGTATTGCGTAATTGGGGGGCTTTAGCGCAAATACAAATATTAATAAAAATATGGAATAGTACATCGAAATTGCAAATTTACGAAACTAGGGCTCCAATATCCTTTTAGTCCTGAAACGATAAATAAAACGGTTTAATTCAAAAAATAAAAAAAAATCCTTACCAAGTAAATATTTAATCCTTTTATTTTTCTCCTTTTTCTCTTTTTTACGCAAATGGTTGAAAAAACTGTGACATACTGAGTGATGTAGTATTATTTCCCTATTTTCTTTTCTACCCGCAATTTATATATTTTTTTTAATGTATTTTTAATTTTTGTTCACATAGAATGGTTTTATACTATCTAACTACACTTACAACTGAGTATAAACAGTTGTGGTCGAATATTATTTGCAATACTATTATTATTGTTCTATAAAAATAGAAGTTTTTAGTAGTGTAGCTACTTGTTTTCTTGGAATATCTTATTTTCGCCCTTATTTTCACATGTATTTACATATTTTCTACGTCATAGGGAATTGCTTAATTATTTTGGATGAAGTTTTTGTTCATATTGTTTGCAATTAAATTTTGCTCCTTTAGTCTTTTATATTCTCAATTTATCTTGTTTGCTTTCCCTTTTTTTTGTTTTATTAACATTTAGTATGTAATTTTGATTTCTTTATTAAACACTATATTCTACTATGCATGTAGCATTATAACATACAATTATGTATTTAATTTTATTTAATGTTATGGTATCATTAATGTTATAGAACTAAATGATGATAATGATTCTGATTCCAAAAATCAAAGAAAGGTTGATTATGCATAGGTTTATATGGAAGATTTGTTAAATAAAATGGAGATAGTTGGATTACGAGCTGTAGATGGTGTTATATCCAAATCAACAAAAGTTTTTTTTCATTCTCTATTTATTTTTCTTGTTGTTGCTTGGTTTGTAATTCAATGTGTTTGTTTTTTTTTGAATAAAATTTAATTTCTTCAAATTAAATTACGCTTGTCTTTTGTTTGTTTTTCATACGCCTTGTGCGATTCTCAATCTTCGCTTGCTATTTTTGTTTAAGGATTTTTTATAAATATTTCAGTAATGTAGAAACTGCTGTGGCTACATTTATTATGCTTTTTGTATATTATGTTGATTTGCTTATTTTTCAATAAAACACAACCTTTAAGTTTGAACTGTTCAATATTGTTCATTAAATAATAATTTCGAAATCAAATTACGAAATTTGCAAATCAAAATTTTTATAATTTTATATATATCTTTCCGATTCCAAATCCTACTTCATAAATTTTTATAAATTTTGATAATTTTTTTATGAAAAACATATGTATAGCTATTTTGCTTACGAACACATTATTCGTTATGATTTTATGAAACACATTATGTGCAGTAAAATACATACAAATGTATTCTAGTAAATGTACATTCTCGGAGTTCCTAATGTGTGTACGTCTTAATTTTAGTATTCTACAACTTTTCTTCTAAGCTTGTTGAGTTTTTTTTATTTATTTCAAACTATGAAATTATCATGTACAATTTAGGTCATCTAATATCACTTTTCGTATTGTATTTTATTTAATTGAACACTATATTATTTTGTTCTTTACCAATTAAGCTTTCCAAAATTTCATTGTATATCTTTTCGGGGCATTGATTTTGATAACATGAAGATTATGCATAAAATTACATTTTATTAAATCTTTGCCCAAAATATTTCTAGGTTATTAAGACTCTTAAAGGAATATATTTCTATATTTTAATTAATTTCTTCTTGATTTCCTCACTCTTGTTGTTAAAATCACTATCAAATTTCCATTTAAGATTTGATTTCTCCTTTTTAATTCCTAATTACAATTTTTTTTTCAATTTGTAATACCAAATTCATAATAGCTATTTACTAATTTTTAGCCCTTTGTCCTACGCAACTTCCTTGCGTTGTAATCAATGAATAAATAGTTGTACAAAGTTTTAACGTTTTACTTTTGATATAATAATATGCTCGTCCTTTTTGAAATTAAATTAGTATTTGTGACGAAAACGAAATTGATTTGTAAAGAAAAAAATAAATAAATGACCGTAAATATTCTTGATAATTGTGAAGATATTCCAATAAAGAGATTTTTCTTACTTACAGTTAATTTTTATTAATAATTTTTTTTCTTTGACTTTTTTACCATTTTCTTGTTAATGGCGTTCTTTTAACTTTTTCTTCTCTCCTTCAGATCTTTAACAGATTCTAAAGTTTACCAAAAACTAAAAGTAAAAACGAAGATGACATCGTAAAACTTAACATGGACGGTTAACGAAATTTCCTCTTATTTTATATATACGTATATAAAAATTTCAGGTGAATACGAATATTTTTTTCTGCAGCAATGGCGGTTATAGTCGAAAATGACAGAAAAAATTACGAAAAAATAAATTGAAATTTCTTCGTTCTTTCCCCTTTTTGTAGAAATTTTAAATCTTCGGCTTTTTGTGACGAAAATATTGTATTTATATTTATATTGTATTTTTTTTACATTCAAGATAATTTGACATTTAACAAGGACATCGTTTTCACAACTTTTTAACCTTTTAAATTTATTTATTTTTTTTGTTTTTGCTTCATCGAGATTCCTTTCTTCCAAAAATTCAAATGTTCTTAAACATTTCATTTATGAATCTGCAAATAGAAAATAAAACAAAAAATTTAGTCATTTCGAAAAAAATTGGAATAAAATTAAATTATGTCTTTGTTTAAAAGAGAGTTATGAAATTTGTGTTAAAAACAGATATTTGAATTTTTCAAAATTGAAATTCCAAAACATTATATAAAAATTATTAGTCCTATAATATTATGAGGATTTTGAATATTTCTCTGTTATTAATATCTTCTCTCTTATTTAATTATCTCTATAATTTAATTAATTTCAGATTTAATTTTCAATTGGAATAAATTTCCTTCCTAAAAGCCACATGTATACCACACTGTTAAAATTACTTTCATTCATATACGAAACTATTTCTCGGATTGCATATATTTAGGATGAGCGATTTATGTAGTCTGTAAAATAAAGCAACAATTAAATTAAATATAATGCTCGACTTTATATTTTTTAATGGCACGGAGTTCACTGCTAGATTTCTACATTTATAGAAATTCGAAAAAGCTTGTGGTTTCGGAAATATAAGGCGTCAAAAATTCGAATTTTAAAAATTTCAAGAGGCGATAACTTGAGAGAGAGTGGAGATGAAAAAGAAGTTTCTTTTAGCGAAATAAAGTATTTATTAGTGTCTAAAAGCTGCTAAACGTGCGGTTAGCTTCAGGCTCCTACAACGTGGGGCTTAGAAGGAAAACGACATCAAAAATTTAGGAAAAACGGAAATTTGAACGGCTATTTTGTTTTTTTAAAGTTCTAATATATTATACACTAGTAGAACAACGCAGCCACTATATTTGTGCGTTTACTAAATGCTTACAGTTTCACTGTAACAAATGGTTAGAAATACCATTTTTAGGGTTTTAGGTTGGTAGAACTTCTATAAGGGGGGAGATAGGTAAAAATTTTCTTCTATGGAAGACGGACGGACGGATAGAATGAAACTAATAAACACTTTTTTTCAAAAATTTTTTGGAAAAGTACTAAAAATGAATTTTTTTTCTGCCAAAGGCTACCACATTGAATTGTATTAAAAAAAATAAATTTTTTTTAACGCAACACACATTTCTATCATTTTAACGTACTGACAACATTTATAAAAAAATTTATATTTTTTTATATATTTTTATGAAAATTTTTTTTTATATATTTTCTGATAAATTTTAGTGAATGGAGGTCTTAATGAACGTGTATCCACCGGACAAAAACGTGTTAGTTAGTGTGGATTATATTTTTTAAATTTTTTTTATAAGAAAAATTTAAGTCAATACTAATGAGTTTTATTTGAGAATTTTTCGAACACTATAGAATGAAATTAAAATTTTTATTATTTACGCAAAAATGTGCAAAAAAACTAAAGATAAAATCATCACGGAGTAAAATAAAACAACACTAGCTGAGCTGATAGAAGTTGAAGATATTGCAAATGGGAAATGTAAGAAAAAGATTACCATTACCGCCGAAATAATAATTAATGCGTTTTATTTACAGTAGAGTAAAACCATGTTTTACTATGATTAGCAGCTAAATGAATTTAAAAGTTATTTTTCATAGCATATCTTTCCAATTTTCAAAATTTTTAATAATATTTTGCAGCATCTAAAAATTAAAAGTACTAAACTTAATAATTAAATAACTTTTCGCAAAAACTTGATTTGGAAATAAATAGAATATCTTGAGAGACTAGACTAGACTTTACAAATATCACGTATCTCTAAATGTTACCTAGCTGTAAATTATCCCATGTAAAAAACCTTTATTTGAAAATTTATTTCCAAAATATTGTATTTTCGAAACTACCTTTATAATAATATCTAAATTTGTATGAAAATATTATGTAGCTTATTGAAAAACTAATTTTTACTAAAAATTTTAACAGTAATAGTCGATCGTTGACGTTACATGTAGTGCTATTTTATACATACTATATAAAACTTACAACATAAATTCAAATAATTTCAAAGACTATTAAAATCAACTTCTTTTCAAATCAAATGCACAGTATTTTCAAATAAAACGCCAAATTCACTATATATGAGGACCGAAAAAACCAGTGATCTAATGAAGACTTAAAAAAAAACACAATAAATTTAAATAAAAAATTTTGCCACTTTTTCCGTTTCGCGTTTTTTTTAATTTTTTTTCAAACGTTAAAAAAAAAATGAAAGTTTAATTCCAACCTTTAATTCTATGACTAATCTTACATTCAGCATGATAGAGTAGCATGAAAGTGAATTATTATGGACAATGTGCAATGTTTATTGCATATTCTTGATTGATTTCAATGAGGGAATACACTTCTGAAAACCGCGGAAGGCGCTGAACAATTCAGAACCTGGCCTGAAAGCAATGTGAACCGTCTCAATGTAACAATTCTAGTTAAAATGGATAATTATAAGTTAAAATATTTTTATGTTCCCCATTACATAGAGCCAGTGAAGTATATTATAGTATCACTTTTTGAAAACAAGTTAAAAATTAAGAATTTCCGCTTAATCTTAAAGATTTGTTAAATTACTTAATTACTGCAAGCAACCTAAAAAATTTACAGTTTTGACCTTTAAATATATTTATAATTAAAGGTCCGTTCATATAACTGGACAGATTAGTTCCCTTTACAAAATTTTTAGAAATTAAAAAATTAAAAAATCCCATTAGAACTTATAGAGATTAATTGAAATATGTTATTTTTGATTTTAAATATAGAAACTTACAAGGGCATCAAAGATCAAATAATATAACCAACACAGAGAGTAAACCAATAACAATGTAAAAAATACCTTTAGTACTTCAAATAGAACTTATGTGTTTAATAGCATTTAGTCATGAATTCGAAGTACTCACTGGAACTTCTCTTCTTTGCTCAAATCAAACAAATCCTTAAAAAAATTTATTTGTTGAAATTGTATGCAAAAGATTTCTTTCAAGAGCTACTTGACTATATACATGCAAACAAAAAAAGTTTGAAACCTTAACATAAAGTAAGTACGTAAATTATTTAATCCTTTAAATTCTCTTTTATTATAAAAATTTATTTGTTTTTTAATTCTTTTTGATATCCTTTTTAAATTTTAATTTAAATTTTTGAAAATTTTCCAATAAAATTCATAGAATGTAGATGACAAAGTACACAAAAAAGTCATTATTATTTGTACACGAAAGTTTGAATTATAAATTCATTAAATATAAAAAAAATCATATGTATAAGTTAAAAAAACATATGTATGTGTGTTTATAATTTAATGACCAAGTATACCTCTGAGTTATAACAACTAAAAGTAATAACAAGTTATAACGCCATGTACAAATTTCAATACTTACATGTGTATATGTATTCATATATACATTATTATATACATATAAATTTATGTGTAATACAAAAGAATTTATATCCCTTATCTTGTCTTAAAAATTCATTTTGACATTTTACCAGAATTGAAAATTCCATTTTTTTTCAAGGACTTTATTTACAAATGAGATCACATCACATAAAATAGACTCTACATACTAACACATATAAAATACACATTTCATACTAAAATTATTAAAAATTGAATTGGTATATAACTTTTTATATAATGTTATATTGTTACATTTTCGATCACTTATATATATTTGTTGCTCCAGTCATGATAAAGAAAAATTTTTAAGGCATGATCGACGCAAACTCTAAATAATCATTGTTCTTAATGTATTGACAAAGAAGAGTTTCACAAGAAGTCTTTAGAATTTCTAAAGTCAATTTATGACAAAATTTTAGCTATCAACTCAAATGACGTTGAAGTTTTATAAAGAAACAGAAAAAAACAGCTTAATTTTACTGCTTATTTTTGTGACATTATGTTAAAATTTTTATTTTTTATGCCATGTATCGACAATACAATTCAATATTATATAGCCCCAAAAATTATTTTTTTTCAATACAATTTACGAAATTTCAAAAAAACTACTATTTATATTATGCAAATCAATCTCTTCTCTCAAATTAATCAAAAAATCAGAATTCTTCAATTTTTTGCTCTAAATAAGTAGCATTTACAACGTTGAGATACTCAAAACTCATATCTTTATAGAGTACAAAACTTTTTCTTGGTGAAAACTATTTTATTAAAAATTTAATTTAATTTTTGTAACAAAATTGTATTTAATACTTTTATCGTTATTATTTACACTACACCCTGGCTACTTATAAAAGAAGTAAAAGTTTTTGCCAAAAAATATGTAAAACCTTTGGTTCAATGTATTGCATAACTTCTTCTTAACTTAAGTGCACAATAATGCTTTCTTTATAAACACAAAAGAAATAAATTTAATAATATGAGAGTTTCTAATAGTTTTCAAAAACTTCAATTCAATGAATTAAATTTAATTTTAAAATATTATGTGTTAAAAAGTTCAAAATTATGTTATTGAAAGTTGACTAATAAAGTTTTTAATCGATAAAATTTTTGATTGTATTACTTAAGTTATGTA